AGAGTATAGGTGCAGAGATGGTCTGGCCCTGTAAATCCTGTCTCCTAGACTAGTAGCAGTGCTTTCTTATCTACAATTAATGAGGAAATTCTGTCTGAAGGGAACCATTCACTACTGAACCCTGGGGTGGGGTTTTCCCGTTCTTTCCTAAGAGAGGGGTGGGAAGGAATTCGTTTTGACTTTGGAAAATATTTGTAAAAATGTAAATGAAAAGACATTTCATGTTTTGGGGCGGGGGTAGGAGACTACCTTCTCCCAAATAAACATGGGAGAAATCTGTTGTGCCTTAGAACCTTGAAACTTGTATAATTTTCAAAAGTCAGATTGCTTTAATTCTGTTTTGGGCCTTGTTTGGGTTGTGTTTCAGCCAGCATTTTCCAGTAGAGCAGTGAGGTTTTTTCCTTCCCCCCTTGTTTTTGCTCAGTGTAAACAGTTCCTTGCTGTGGTTACACAGACAAATATAGCAGAGAACCCTTTTCTGGGAGAAGAGTCTCCCCAAGCATTTCTTAACCATTTTTGGGAAGAATCGATCTATCTGTGCACGCGAGAGAGGGAGGCAGTAGCTGTAAATTGAAGTGACATCATATATATTACTCCCATTGATCTGCTTTTAGACTAGAGCCAGGATAAAAGGAAATGGCATCAGGGAGGAAGTATGCTCGTTTAGGCACAGATCCCAGTGTGATAATGGAGTAATAATAGAAATCACGCCACTGTCAATTGGTTGCTGCATTAGTCTGAGGCAGATTTCCCCTCTGAGGAGGCTTTCAATGACTTCATTCAAGTGCAGGCAGGAGTAAATGCGATATTCAGCATACCAGCTGTACTACTTTAGTGATTTGTGTCCTGGCTTAGGGGTGCAGTCCAAGCGCTGGTGTTGTGGATGCTCAAGTAGATATATCTGTGTCACATTTCATGGCTGTAAAAGGTCAGTAGTCAATTGTTTCAGTGGCATTTTTTCTAGTATAAAGGGTAAATCTGGCATTTATTGCATTTGTTAATGTAGGAATTGATAAATACCCTCCTTTGCGTGGGTGGTCTTCTGGGATGTGAGGTGCATGACCTCTGTAGCTGCCATACCAGATCTTTGAAGACGCAAGATTTGTTTTCTTTGTCCTTTTTACAGGTTAGGGGTAGGATTCAGAAAACTCACAGTTTTGTTCCAAGATCATTTGTAGAAACCCTTTCAAACCTACTAATGGCTTGAGATATTCTTGTAACACAGGACAATGGCTGAAGTGTCTTGTGTACTGATATGAGTAAAATACAAAGTATGCTTTTTCTTAGTTCCCAGACATTTACTATACATAGAATCTCAGCCCCAGTAAGCTGCTTCAGTAATAGTCTGAGTTACATTTTCAGCTTGGTTACCTTTTCTTTAATTCTTTCATCTTACCTTTTTCAAATACAGACCTAGTTTTGAGACTCCCCATCATTTGCAGTTTCAGAGGTAACAGCCTCATTATTCAAACTTTGAAACCACCACATCAGGTAACATAGGGGAAGCAGGGGACAAATGGGTATTAAGTGGCACGACAAAGTGAACTTTTAAAAAAAGTCTGAAGAGTTGCAGGAGAGGTTTTACAGTCTTAAGGGCAAGATAATGTGCACAGTGCTGGGATACATCTTTATAGTGGGGATGATATTTAATTACATGGGACATGACAGAAAAGCTCTGGTGTGTGTGATCACAACATATTAATTTGTTTCCTCTTTGTAGTATCAGTACTCACAAATGCAGGAGGGGGAACCCTGGGAAAAGTAGTATGATTTCCATGTGGCAGGCATAGGTTGGGACAGGACCTATCTACTTTGCAATATAAGTAGATGCTGTTGCAGCAGTCATTTCTGTAACGAAACTATTTCTTAATACTCGCCATGTTTCCTGATGGAAGTGATCTACTTTAGTAATCGCATATATTTGAGCATTTTGATTGAGCATGCTCCAATACAGTTCAGAGTGTGATTTTTTATATATATACACACATATATATTATATATATAATTATTTTTTTTTAACAGGAACACTGAAATTTGGTGTTTGGGGTGTTATGGTTGTTTTCTGGATGTTTTCAACATGGAGATACACAGTGACACAAGGAAGTTTACCCTGATGTATTTTGCTGTAGCTGTGTTGTGTGGTTTTTTATGTATGTTAGATATTGAATATGCATTCACAGAATATGAGTTGTTGTAAAGGAAAATGGCGTCAAAATACTTGAAGTTTACTTTTTGTTTTCTCCAGCATTTATGTTTTCATAGCATTTAAAAGCAAGGGCCCCTTTGTATTAAGCATAAGACAAACAAACAGAAAATCAAGAGTGTGTACCCCAAACAATTCTCATGGTGTGAAAGATGAGAAGTAACAGGTGAGTGGGACAAATAAGCACACTGGTGGGGAAAACGAAAAATAATGGAGTGTGGGTTTTTTTGACTGAAAATTCGAGTGCAATTTTGTGAAGTTTATTTATAACCATTAAAAAGCTGCTTTGGAGATAGCGTTATTCATATTGCTGTGTTTGGGGAAAAGATTTCTAAACCTCTGAGGGGATTTTGGGTAGTCACTGTCACGAAACTTCGGCCGAGCTTTCTGCCTCTTTCCTTAGGATAGGTTTTTCTCTTAGGCAGAGTCTCTTATTAAAAGGAGAGCCTAAGAAATGAAAGAGAATGTTCCTCCTTTTATTTGTGTCACAAGTAAGTGGGAGAATAAAACGTAATAGCTGCGCCCACTAGTGCCACTTTGGTTACAGGTCTGTCAGTGTTTCTTCTGCTGGTGCCCCCCCCCCCCCCCCCCTGTGTTTGCTAGCTCCTACCTTGCACTTTAATTAAACCATGAGCTGGAAACTGGTATGTACAGTCTCATCCTGGGCGGCTGGAACGTGGGAAAACAACAGAAGCCATGGTCTCAGATTTTTTTTCTCTGCAGTCTTAAATCTAAACTGGTAAGAGTTTAACCTGTAATTCTGAAAACTCTTCACCCATAATGCAGCAGTAGGCAGAGGTAGATTAAGGACATGGCTGTTGCTCTGCTGCTATGCTTTTGTTGGCTTCAGTGAGATTCTGTAATGTTAGATTAAAAAATAGCTTTCTGTGGGTGAATCTGTATAGCAGTTATACTGGAGATATATTATAAAATAATAACAGCTGTTCTATACCTATGTATTCAAGCAGCTGTTCTGCAGTTTCTACAAATGAAGTATTGCTCTGCTGTCTTTGTAGTTAGCAGGGAAGGCTTTCTAAATCAGGAATTACCTTTCTGTGCGTGGTATTCTGTAGCATTTCAGATTTTATTAGTGTTCAAAATGACTTCAGTTGCCAAGCAGAGCCACTTCCCAGAAGCCTTCCCTGTTTTATTTTTTAGAGTGTCTCACCATCCCCCAGGCAGCTGCTGTTGGACTGTGCAATAAACATTCAAGTTGGCATTTTAGTCATCCTGAAATTCAAATATTCAGTATTTCTGAATGTCTGACTATTTTTAACAACTCCATTTTGTTGGCAGGCTTTGGTATCACTTAGAAAATGTTCCGCTAAGAGCCAGTAAGATGTGCAGTTTTTTTCTCTCTCCAAGAATACAACTTTAATAATAAAAAAATGGAAGGAAATAAAAGTGCAAGGAAACCAAAGCATTAAAATCCTAGAGATGTCTTTTCCTCTGTATTCTGATTTAGGTACTAATGCTATATTATGTCAGACTAAAAGGGAAGAAAATGTCATGTTGCTTAGTTGGTTGTTAAGACTTATCAGAAGATCCTTGGTACCTTCATGGACTTGCCGTCAGAGATCAGGGGTCCAGACTTGTAAACAGCCCGGGCTGTGGGCTGTGTTGTTGGAAGAGGCATTTCCTATAGGTGGCTTCATTTTGTACCTGCTTAGCACACTGACGCAGCAGAGTGGGACATGGGCAGCAAGACAGGAGCAGAGAATCGCCAAATGTGATAAAAGCTGGAAGTAGTGTTAAAGTAACAGGATATCTTTTTTCATTAATCTGTCTGGAGAACATTAGAAGTGAGCAGTGCTGGTTTATTTTTGTGTGCAAAAGCTTAAATTCACGTTCTTCCTCTATTCCTCCTTCCCCTTTTGGAGCCCCACAATGACAAATAGTGGGGAAAGCTTTGGGGCATTTAACAAACTCCTGACTGATCACCCTGAACCCTGAATTTCCAATAAATGTTTCCTGGCAGCTGGTGTAATTTGTCTCTGAGCTCTGTTTGAATTATTTATTTGTTCCTCCAATAAGCCTATTAAACAGAGCACTTAAGCACTTGCTACATCAGTTTTCTTGTGCTTTTTCTTTTTAGGCTACATTAGGTTCAACTTGAAAATGATAGGTTCTGGAGTCAGGCGACTAACTACTGAAGATACATACATGTATAGATAGATATATACTGTGTGTGCCACAACCATAACATTCATGCGTCTTTACCGTGTAATGATGGACGGCTTGTGACTCATTGCACTAAAATATGACACAAAATGTGTCATTACCACACTTGTTTGTGGGCCATGTATTTGTGTTGTGTTTCTTTGTTCACTGTAAGAATATTGTGCAATTGGTCATATAACAGATAAAAATGCCACTCTTAAAAATTATACATTTGTATGTCTGTTGATTCCTGAAATTATGCACTGTAAATTATTCTCTTTTTTTTAATTCCTTCCAAGCCCAAACAAAATAGAATTACTTAGCATATGTATTCCATAAAAATCTTACTTAATAAGCTATGATTATGTTTCAATAAGATAAGCATGGTTTATATCTGATCTAACTATAGTAATGAAAGCCACAGAAAAATTAGTCTTAATTGGGCCCCAGCACAGAGCCTTTCAGAACACAGACACGTAAACCCTGAGGTTTTTCAGAAACCGGCTAGAAGTTCTTGTTGTATTTCAAGTTGAAAGTACACAGGTTATCACAATCTTGTCCTCTTGTGGTTTGTTTCCATTTAATTGCTCAGTCAGTAGAGATCTTTATTCACACACGACATTTATTTTCCTCTTAGCTTCTCCCTGACCAGCTGGTCTTACTTCTGGAGTCTCTCTTGGAGGAGAAGATGTTGTGTCCTAGAATGCTTCAGTGCTTAGAGAAAACGTACCAGCTCCGGGAGCAAGATGCTGAGGTAATTCACTTCAAAAAATATCTCCCTAATGTATGGCATTGCATTGCTGACTAGGAGTGATAGTGTTCCGCTAGGATCCAGACTTATTCAAGTTCTTTTTTCCATATCTAAATCTGAAATTGGATGCTCTTAACTCCAGTATTGTTGCATCTTCAGATGCCTTAATTACTCAGTATTTCTGTGTGTTTTGTGTGGGTCCAGGTGTGTTTGCATACCGTGGTAGTAAGAGGTGGTGCAGCCTAGATGTCGTAACTATTGTATGTGTACCTTGGGCAGCACATTTGCTCTCGTGTTAAATTTCTTACTATGTCATGGTGGCTGTATATTAGGGCCCAGTTTATTCTAGTTGTGAGTATTGTCTCCAAATGCAATTGTGTCTGTTACGTTCTAGAATTATTTTTCCCCAGGGTCAACCCATATTGTTCCTCTTTGAGCGCTCCAAAGTCTTACTCGGGATTTCTAAAAGTTTGCTTTCCAGAGAGACTACAGTATGTTCTGGTTTTAGGCATGAGTTTAAGGCGTGTCCTGGTTTCAGCTGGGATAGAGTTAATTTTCTTTCTAGTAGTTGGTACAGTGTTATGTTTTCAATTTAGTATGAGAAGAATGTTGATAACACACTGATGTTTTTCAGTTGTTGCTATACTAAGTCAAGGATTTTTCAGCTTCTCATGCCCAGCCAGCAAGAAGGCTGGAGGGGCACATGAAGCTGGGAGGGGACACAGCCAGAACAGCTGACCCAAACTGGCCAAAGGGGTATTCCATACCATGTCATGCCCAGTAAATAAAATGGGGGGAGTTGGCCTGGCAGGGGGTTATCGCTGCTTGGGAACTGACTGGGCATTGATTTGTGAGTGGTGAGCAATTGTATTGAGCATAATTCATTTTGAATATTCCAATTCTTTTTTTTTCTTTTTTTTTTCCCCCTCTCTGTCCTATTAAACTGCCTTTATCTCAACCCATGAGTTTTACTTTTTTCCCCCAATTCTCTCCCCCATCCCACTGGATGGGGGGAAGTGAGTGAGTGGCCGCGTGGTGCTTAGTTGCTGGCTGGGGTTAAACCACGACAAGGTGGAATCAGTTCTTTACAGTTGCTTCTAGTAAGTGCCAGGGATATTAACAGTCCCTGAGGAAAACACGGTTTTATATGATACTGTAAATGTGCCTTCCCCATCACAGGCACATATGAGGCTAGCATCCCTGCTCCAAAGAGCTTAATGTCTTTGGAGACAAAATCAGTAAATCCTTATTACCACAAACAGCACTGGCTATTTTGTAGAGTCCCATGGATTTCTCAAGCTGGGAGATTTGTGACAGTGAAGACAGCAGAACTTGTGGCTGAAAGCACCCTTGCAATGAGTCTTTGCTTCAAGTACGTAGTATTCAGGAGGGGAGGTGAGAAGATGGAATCAGTCATGAAGATAAAGGATGTATAGATTTATATATAAACAAGGGTTAGTTATGAAGTAGCATATGATCAAGCTAATGTGCAATAAGGGAGCATGGTAAACGTAACATGACATTTGACTCTTGTTTAATTAAAAACTCCTGTGAAGGCTGCAGAAAGTCAGCGTGCATGACTTACCCTATTATAATTGGAACTTTATAGCAATAATTAAAATTGTAGGGGAGAGCAAAATCTCTTTTGTTGCTCTTATGCTGAAAGTGCTGGGTGGACACCTATAAACAGTTGGGAATCCAAACATTAACGTAAAGATCAATAGAACAGAGGTCTAGCTTTTTCTCAGAAAAAAACAGACAACATTTCCACTGTTGCCATTTACTGCACCTTTTTACTTTTTTGTTGAAACAGGTTTCCAAATGCCAGATTTGTTTTTAATTAGTACTTGAACCAACTTTTCTATTTATAAGTATTAGAATGTATTTTAATCACATCTGAATACCAGTGAAATGTCATGAGTTCTATAATGGGAAGAGGAATTAATGGGGAGATAGATCAAAGCAATAGCTGTGGTGTTGCTGCTCCATGCCTGTGAATTGTAAGCACCAGGCCACAAGCTTTGGTTTCTCAGATTTTCCATTTCTCTCCACATTCATGCTTGCTTTCTTCCTTGCAGTGTCATACAAAAGTACACAAGCAATCAGTCAGAATTTTTTCTTTTTTTTTTGAAAAAAAACCTACAAAATTACAGCCTTGGTGAAAGGAGCATAATCTCCATTTTATTTTACAAGGTGAAACCAAGGGCTTAGCAGATGTTGAGAAGTACAACTAAGATAACATTACCATTAGCATTTTACCAGTCATCAGACCCCAGACACCTACAGTCAGTCCTTTAAAGGGAACATTAGCTTACACACCCTCACATACCTGAGGGAAGGACTTTTCATGCCTCTTTCTCCAGTACCTGCATAGGGGATTTTTCTTGTCATGACACAGGGACAAAGAACCTTAGTCCAAGCCTATAGCTGAGCTGTTCTTGTCTAGATTTAATTTGTGACGACATTAGTCACTTACAATGATCCTGTTATGTTACTGGAGTTCAAATGTTCTCAGTAACTAAGCATCAGAAATGAATCATTAAAAATACAAGCATAAAAAATTGCATGCAGGCCAATAAAAAAAAAGAAAACTGTCAATGGCAGAGGTTTTATTCAGGTATTCTTTTTAAGAAGTTTGTCAGCTGTGTTCCATCCAACAGCAGAAAGTTAAGAAATAAGACCGGGTTTTCCTATTTTTGATAAGTGGCATTTAAATTCACATTAATCTTCCAGCAGGATTTAGCAGTGATGTGGCCAGTAGTATGTTTTTCTGTATTATAAACAAAGTTTGCTCTTGAAAACTGTACATAAAATGTTGTCTGCACACTCAAGAGTTGGAAGGCTTTCCCTGTATGTATTGTAGGTCACTAGAAGGCCTTTGTACAGCATCAGAGGGAATACAAAGGATAGCATGTATACGTGCTGCTGAGTATGCTTGCAAGGGCAAGAATGTTCCACGTTTTGTAGTACTTATGTGGAAAAAGTAAAGGATTTGGATAATCTCACCTCATCAGGTAGGCGTGTTGGGAGGAGTAAAGGGGACAGTTGCCTGGTGGATTTTACTGTTGGGATGAAACCAGTAGAGAACCACCTCCCTGTCTCTGCCTATTTTAAAGGACCTGAATGTCTGTCTGGACACTTCAGTCCTGTAGCATGCTGGCATTGAAGCACCACACCAAAGCTAGCACTGGGATGGTACTGGAGAAAAGTTGCCCAAGGTTGCTTGAGCCTGGTTGACTGGAAATGGGATACATGTGCATTGGGCTTGTTTTGTCTTTGGGTTACTTCACAGTTCACACATTGAGAAGCGTGTGCAACACAGCTCACTAACTCGTTGCACAAATGCTGCAAGAGAGCTTGTTACCGGGGATGGTGTTGTCCTACACAAGTATAGCATGGGAAGTCCCAGTTCATGTTTCTCAAAGCTTTTATATCTGTGTTTCTGAAGCATCTTTATTTGGACTTTAAAGTTCAGCACACTTGTTGTAAAACAGCGTGCACCTGGCAGTGTCTGCACTTGCCCGCGGCGACATGCAGGTCTGTCCTCAGTCAGTGAAGGTTGCCAACAGCACTACTTGGTACTCCTGACCGCTTGTTACCACGTGCATGTCCAGCCTTACCAACGTAAGGGCACACCGTACTTCAGAAAGGAGAGGAGGGGTTGCAGCAGGTTATCATCTGCCTTGTTTAGATTCCTTTGAAGCAGCCAGGAGGGGAAGAGGTCAGTAGTAGGCTCTCCCTTCTCAGACAGACACTTATTTGAATGCTTCAGCTAAAAAGAAAATCAGAGGTTAGGTAACATGTTTCTGATTCATAATGCCTAACGCATCTCTGATAGCAACCTTTGAGCCACAAGAGCCAGAAGTGAGATGCTGATGGCTTAATCACGTTTCAAACTGGTCTGCCCCCAGTCTTGGGTGCTGTAAGAGGCTTGTAGGGCATCTGCCTAACTGTAGAATTTGTGACTCGCTCCTATTTTTTTCAGTCCACTTCTGTAGCAAATCATGATTTTATTTTCCATTTGCTGTTCAAACCTTAGAACACATAAGAAGGCACACAACTACAAGTTTGTTTTCCAGAGATTAAACTCACTGCTATGAATTCTTTGAATCGAGCATATCCAATATATCTTTAAGCAATGTTTGGAGAGCAATGAAGGTTTCAAAGGTTAAAGCCATTTTTCCATCACCTCTCAGTGCCTTGAGCCCATTGTGGCTCGGACCTGGTCAGACGAGTGGGAGGCAATTGCATGGAAGAATGATTGTGTCCTCAGTTTTCTCTTCTGTTCCCACTTTTCTTGCTGTGCCACTTCCTGTTGCATAGTAAGGTGGCTTATAGACAGGCTACACCTCCATGGCGTACCACGTCCTGGGTCCGTCAGAAGCATAATAGAAGCTGGCTGCAGTCTGAATATGACAAAGTCCAGCTGGAAGTTCAGCTGACTAAGGAGAACTGAGATATGTTTTAACACAGCTACAGTTGCCATCAGGCAGTTGCAGGAAGATAACAGAATTGAAGGTGGGTCTGGGGTTGTTTCTGTTTTGTTTCTTTCTGAGGTGGCTGTTTGTATTTATACAGATATTTAATTTATTCAATATCTAGCGTCCGGCAGAATGAGGAGAGCTGGTCTGCATGGAAAGTTTCTGGTTGCTAGTATTTTTTTAAGTCTGCCTAACCTTGTTGACACCTCTTTTGATGTAACTATGCAAACTTACCTTGTTTGAGCATAGGCTGTTGAGGACTTTCACTGAACTGATTCCAATTTTTTTACAAATATCTAAAGACAACACTGGGAGCTCTGGATAACACTCAGTGAACCTGTTAACTAGAAGAACCCTGTGATTATTTCCATTATTTCTCTTCTAACATCTTCATTTGGTCAGGGAGAGGCCTGTAATGTGTGTGTACACAAGGTCACAGGGTGGCTGAGTAGCCTGCAGAATAGTAAAAAAAGCAACAGGGAAAAGATCACTAAGGCCATAGGAGAGAAGGGTAGCGTGTGT